ATATGATTTCACTCCTATGTGGAATTTAAGAAAAAAAGCAGATGAACACACAGAAAGGGCAGGAAAAAATAAGATAAAAACAGAGAGGGAGGCAAACCATTAAGAGACTCTTAAATACAGAGAACAAACTGAGGGTTGCTGGAGGAATACTGGGTGGGGGGATGGGCTAAAGGAGTGATAGGCATTAAGGAGGACACTTGTTGGGATGAGCACTGAGTGTTGTATGTAAGTGACGGATCACTAAATTCTACTCCTGAAATCATTATTACACAGTATGTTAACTACCTTGGATTTAAATAAAATTTTAAAAAATATTTAAAGGCATGTGTTCATACTGATACTGAAAACAAACCAAAAAAAGTTCAAATGCTCACTAATGAAGGATGCTAGAGAATCAACTCATTATTTTAAAAATCAGTATTAAGACCAAGAACCAAACATCTAGATGATCCTACTCAAACTGCACCACATAACCAATAGTAGGTAAGGGGGAACTTCTCGTTATAAAATAATCCAGCAAATATTGAAGAAAGCTTGAAAGAAATAGTTATAATTTTTCAACTTCAATAAATTTAATGGATCTCAGCATTGAAATCAATGGCTGTTACCATACCAAAAAAAAAGAGACAAACTGATAATATGTACCACCTGCTAAAACTATATACCACCACTTATGGAAGCAGTATGGCCAAAATAATCAATCCTGACTCCAATACCTCTAGATGTAACTACCAGTTTACAGGCAGTAAAGTAGACAGAGAAAATATTAAACAACATCACAGAGACGTAATCAGCAATTTCAGTATGGGAAACTAACAGGAAAAATAATCTGTTACTCTTCAACAAATCAAATGCAAATTAAAAAGAGAAAGGAAAGGTGATACATACAGAAAAAGAGATACCAAAGAAATTCATATCAAAATTGCGATAAACAAAACACATTTAAATCCTGACTCAAAGCAAACAAAAAATTACAATGTTGGAGACTTTCACTTCAGGCCAAGATGGAGAAACTAAGCCCAAATTTACCCTTCTACCTACAACAACTAAAAAATGGGACAAAATATATGAAACGTTTTTAAAAACACTGAAGATCAGGCAATGAACAAAAGTGATCCCTGAAAAACAAAAAAAATGAAGTGAGCTTTGATTGCACCAGTTTACTACCTAGAGAAGATTTCCAAGACACAACACAGGGAGGGGAAACCCAGGTGCAACCTAGCATTCTCCCCAGACTGAGTAGACAGTTTAGAGTTTGCAAATACTGAAGTATCAAAAGTTCACAGGGCAGAGTATCATAGTGGAGAGAGCTACAGAGAGAGAACTCCAGAGATCTGCAGAGGCCCGGTGAGTATTCAGCAGAATACTAACCAGCACACCTGTGAGGAAACTACCTGAGGCTAGGGAAAGAACCATCCAAATAAATTACAAGAAATAATCCATGAGCCCTACAGGGCCAGAAATAGCCCCTGCTCTAACTCATCAGAATGTAAATCATCACTAGGCCTCAGGTAGAATACATAGAAGAATTTGGCCTCTATGGTAGGTGTTTACCCTAGAATAAATGTTGCTCCCATCTGGCCTAGCAAAGCTTAAAAGCAACAGCTAAAGAATCAAAGTATTTCAAGGAACTTAAATGTGTCCCAGAAAAAAAGCTCAAGAATGTTTACAGGAAAAATAAAATACTAATCACACAATTAGGTAAAGTTTATAAGTTCAGTCCTTCAATCAAAAATTGTGGGACGTGCAAAAAGAGAAGAAATTACAATCCATAACAAGGAGAAAAATCAGTCTCTACTAACTCAGAAATGACACAGATGATAAAATTAGTAGACAAGAATATTAAAACAGTTATATTGTTACACATGTTCAAAGGTGCTATATTAGAGACATGAAAGTTTTTTTTAAAAAAAGACTCATATCAAACTTTGAAAGATGACAACTACAATGTCTGGGATAAAATGTCTAGGATTACAAGCACATTACACACTGCAGAAGAAAATAACTTGAATGTATAGAGATAGAAACTATCCAAAATCAAGCCCCAGGAGAAAAAGATTTAAAAAAAAAAAAAAACACCACTGAATGCTGGGACAGCCTCAAATGGGAAATATACATATAAATGGAGTCTTTAAAATAAAGAAGAAAAAAAGGAGTGGAGACAGAAAAAATATTTGAATAAATAATGCCCAAAATATTTACGATTTGGATGAAAATTATAAAACAAAGATCAAGAAATCTTAACAAACTCCAAGCATAGGAAAAAATAAAACAAATAAACATTATACCAAGGAACACCAAAATTAAATTGCTTAAAGAAAAAAAAATTTTAAAGCAGCCAAAGAAAAAAAGACAAACTACATACAGAGGAACAGCATATGTCTTCTCAATGCAATGCCAGAAAACAGCAGAGCAATCTTTAAAACATTGAAACAAAAAAATTGTCAAGCTACAATTCTTTACTCAATGAAAATATCTTTCAAAAAGATGAAAAAAATATTTTTTTCAGGCATACAAAAGCTGAAAAAATCATCAGTATCTCTGAAATAACAGAAATAATAAGGGAAATTTTCAAAAAAAAAAAAGGAAAATGATACAGATGGAAGTCTGGTTCTGCACAAAGGAATGAAGAGCAGTGGAAAAGGTAATTCCATTAGTAAATATATAAAATTATTGTCCTCATTATTAATATCTCTTTCATAGATAATCAATTGATTAAAGCGAAAGTTGTAACAATGTATTGCAAGTTATAATAAATGTAGATGTAAAATATAAGTCAACAACAGCAGAAAGGCTGAAAGGAGAAAAATGGAAGTTGAATATTGTATGATTCTTATACTATCTATGAGGCACTATAATATTACTTAAAGATAGATTGTGATAAGTGACAGTTGTACATTGCATCAGGCATCCATGCATTTTTAATAAGGAAATTCTGTCCTGAAAAGAGAAAAAATCAATTCATGGAGCTCAAAAAAATCCTACTCATTTAATCTATAAAAAGAGATATTTATATAGAACGTAAACAGAAATACAGGATATCTGCAATTAAAAATATATGGAGGGGCTGATTAGGAAAAGGATATCCAAAAAGACTTTCTGGGGGAACAATAATAAAAAAAAAGGTTGAGAAACACATCTATAAGACACTGCTATAAACATTACTATTGTTCAAAGAAACTACTAAAGTAACAGTAGGTGTTACAGTAAATAATACAACAAAGGAGATAAAATCGAATCAAAAAATATACTCAATCCAGAGAATGCAAAAAAGACAAAACAAAAAAATGGAGCAAAGAATAAAGATCAAGATGGTAGATTTAAAACCAATAATAACAATAATCACATTAAAAGCAAATGGTC